GCACACTCACAGCCAACCCCAGCATCAACCTGCTGGGCTGTGGCGGGCCTTCTGCCTCAGTCTTTCAAGTAGCTGGAACTACAGGCATGCGCTACCACACCTGGCTAATATTTATTTATTTATTTATTTATTTATTTATTTTAGAGATGAGGCCTCATCAAGTTGCCCATGCTGTTCTCGAACTCGTGGGCTCAGGCAATCCCCTCATATCAGCCTTCCAAAGTGCTGGGATTACAGACTTGAGCCAGTGCGCCCTGCCGAGAGCATCATTCAGTGGCTAACCACATTGCCAAAGCTAGGAAACCCTTTACTATTGGTGAAGACTTGATCCCTCCTGCTTGAGGACATTTGTCATGAACTTTCAGGAGAGAGTGCAGTTCAGAAGGTGGCAGGTGTCCTCTTTCGGCTACCACCATAGCTAGACAAATCAATGAAATAGCAGAGGACGTTGAGGCACAATTGTTAGGATTAATGAATCACTGTGGTATGCAATCCAGGTTGACTGTTCCACTGATGTTAACAAGGCAACAATGTGCAGTACATGTTCCAGAAGAATTTTCATGAGGATATATTATGTGCACGTTTGTTGCCAACCAGTACCACAGTGGAAGAACTATTCAAGTCTTTGAATGATTGCATATCAGAAAAGCTAAATTGGTCATTTTGTGATGGTATATGCACAGACAGAGTAGCTACCATGACTGGAAGCTTTCTGGTTTTGCTACTTGGGATGCATTTTGTCATCCATAGGGAAGTGCTGGCTCGCCAAAAAATGTCACCTGAACTTAACAATGTTTTGCAGATGTGATTAAAATTATCAGCCACATTAAAGTACATGCCCTTAACTCATTTCTGTTCGTGCAGCTCTTTGAGGAGATGGATGCAGAACACACACATCTATCTTCCTTTATAAATAAAAGTGAGATGGCTTTCTAAAGGTAGATCTCGGGCTAGAGTTTTTGAATTATGACAACCGCTCCAGAGATTGCTTTTATTTTTTATTTTTTTATTTTTATTTTTATTTTTTGAGTTGGAGTCTCACTGTCTCCCAGACTGGAGTGCAGTGGCCGCTCCCGGCCACCGCAGCCTCGACATGGGCTCCGGCGATCCTTCCGCCTCAGCCTTCCAAGTAGCCGGAATTACAGGCATGCGCTACCACGCCCGGCTGAATTTTTGATTTATTGTAGAGATGAGGTCTTGCTGCCCAGGCGGGTCTTGAACCCATGGGCTCAGGCAATCCACTCACCTCAGCCTCCCAAAGGCACGGGATTACAGGTTAAGCCACCGAGCCTGGCTCAGAGATTGCTTTTAGAAGAACAGTCACACCACTGGCAGCACATTTCAGTTACACAGAATGGTCCCAGAACTTGCTTGTGTGACATACTCACCCTGCTCAACAAACTCAGTCTGTCACTTCAGGGGAAAATGACAGCTGTGTTCAAGTCAACTAATAAGGCAGCTGCATTTAAAGCCAAACTGGAATTATGGGGGCAATGAGGGAACATTGGGATTTTTGACATGTTTCAAACATTAACAGATATTTTGAAAGAGACTGAGCCAGGGCCTTCTTTCTCCCAACTGATACATGATAACCTATCTCAGCTTTCAAAAGAGTTTGAGCATTACTTCCCAACCACAAAAGATTCCTGAACTTAGAAGAAATGGATTCATGGCCCATTTGTGAATAAGCCAGGTGAATCGATTTTGTCTATCCTAGGAGAGTATCAACTACTTGAAGACTGCAAATGATGGTGACGTTAAAAGTATATTTGAGACAACTTCAAATCTCCATACGTTCTGGATTAAAGTCAAAGTGGAATAGCCTGAGATTGCCACAAAAGCACTGAAAAGCTTGCCTCCATTTCCAACATCCTGTCTATGTGAAGCAGGGTTTTCTGCAGTGACAGCAACCAAAGCGATATTACGGAGTAGACTGGACAACACACCTCAGGTGTCACTGTCTCCCATCACCCCAGATGGGACCATCTAGTTGCAGGAAAACAAGCTCAGGGGGCCCACTGATTCTGCATTATGATGAATTGTATAATTACTTCATGATATATTACAATGTAATAATAATAGAAATAAAGTACACAGTAAATGCAATGTGCATGAATCATCCTGAAACCATTACCCCTGCCCCCATCCTCGGTATGTGGAAAAACTGTCTTCCACGAAGCTGGTCCCTTGGTGCCAACAAGGTTGGGGACCACTGCTTTAGATTTTCTCCTCTCTTGTCTTGGAAATCTACTCGTGCCTTGCCCTCCTTGTCACTCCTTGGTTTACTATGCCTTCGTCTCTTACGTGGACTGTTCCCACATTCTTACTGGTGTTTGCACTTTCTGTCTTGCTGTTTCTTCAGTGTTACCCTATAGCCAGCATGAGTTTACTGAAGTCAGAGCTGATGCAGCACACTTCCATGCCTGGAAAGCCCTTCTGTGACAGTGCCCCCAGGTTCAAGCTTCTTCTCATGTGACTAACAAGACCCTTTGCAATTTGGCCACAGCTCCCTTTCTCTTCTCTTTGCCACTGTTTTCATTGTATTATTTTTTAAAATCATGATGAATTAATTGAATTTTTCTCAATGTGACCTATCTCCTATCTAAGTTTAGACTTGGTTTTCTCTCTAAAATACTTCTGCTCATGGTATTCTTTTTTCTCTTGTCAGATAACTCACTCCTAGCAGGTTTCAGATCTCAGTTTAGATAGTTCTTTCAGAGTTAAAGTGCCATTAAAATAGTAATTATATACCATGTCCAAGTGGGACAGAAATCACATACTCATTTAAATAGATGCAGAAAAAGCATTTGACAAAATTATCACTGTTTTATGATCAAAAACATTCAATGGACTAGTAGTGGAAGGGAATTTTCTCAAATTGGTAAAGGGCCTCTGTGGAAAACCCATGGTTTCCATCATACTTGGCGGTGAAAGCTAGATGCTCCCTTTCCCTAAGCTCAGCCGTAAGATGAAGGCATCACTTTTGACACGTCAGTCAGCCTGTATCAGATTCTAGACTGAGCGAGAAAAAGAAATTACACAGTGAATACTATACGATTCCATTTGGATGAAGCTGTGAAACAGGGAAGTCCGCAGAGATGGATGGTCGGATGGTCAGGAGAGGAGGGTCTGGGGAGATGGCAGCTGGATGGCTGATGGGCGCCTCGCTGAGTCATCAGATGCTCTGACGTGGACTGTGGTGGTAGGTGCACGTGTTTGTGAATATGCTGAAAACCACCAAACTGTACACTTTAAATGGATGGATTGCATGGTTTGTAAGTTATATCTGAATACAAATATTTCTAAGAAAAAATTGATGTGCTATTCTGACATGTCCCATTGAACTCTGAAGTTATTGCTGATTTCTTTGAATATACTGTTTACTTGTCTACCTTGTCCAGTAAGACACAGGGTCTCAACATTTTGGGTACTATATAGGTGTAGGCGTTATTTACTGTAGTCAAGATGTGCTTCCCACAGCTTAGCCAGAAAAAAGAATAACAGCCCACAAAAGATACAGTCATACATTGCTTAATGACAGAAATCTATTCTGAGAGATACCTAGTTAGGCAATTTTGTAGTTGGGTACCACACAACTACTTCATACTTACACAGACCTAGATGGTATGGCCAACTGCACACCTAGGCTGCGGGTATAGCGTGTTGCTTCTAAGCTATAAATCTGTACAGCATGTGATTGTACTTGATACTGTAGGCTCTTGGGACATGACTGTAAATATTTATGTACCTAAACGGAGAAAAGGTATAGTCAAAAGACAGTATTATCTTTTGGTACTACTGTATTATATGTGGTCTGTCATTGACCAAAACTGTTCTATGGTCTATGACTGTATATTAAAGACTGCAGAATCGGGGCTAACAAATGTGGAGCTAAATGATTGTAAAATAGAACTGTCTTTATCAGATAATGTGGAATGTGAGTAGCATGTTATATTTGACTTCATGTCAGAAGGACTTCCAATGACAAGAATTTCTGAGTTGTGCAAAGAAAAAAGAGTAATGGCAACTTTGGGAACTATGATATACTTAGTTTCTGGGGCTTAGTAGTGCTCATGCACTACTATTTAACCTCATAATTTAGAGTAACTTTTAGCTGCAGCTTATAAAAGCACAGATGCCCAGGGCCATGTTTTAAAAGTCCTCTGCAATAGGTGTGCCTCCCAAAACATGCATGCTCCCGTGTGTGGTGTACCAGCCCATTTTGGGGGGCTGTGTATGTATAACAGCCTGTGCTTGAGGAACTTGTATATAGGAACAGTTTACTCATTAAACGTATTGTCTGGTGTAGATGACAGGTTTTTTGCTGACTTTCTAGCATTCCGTGAGTAGTGTTCATGGCTGTATCATAGAAGACATGACGTGGAGCTGTTCTGCCCATGTTTAGTAATTCCTCTAGTAACCTACTGACCTCAGTAAAGAATGAACAGATTGAGAATGTCAAAGCAATGATTTGAAGTAAGCTAAATCGGTATGTGTTTAAGTGACTTTACGAGGTGTAGTGCTTGGCAGGTGCCCTGAAGAGCAAATCGTGATGTGCCTGTGGAGAACTGCACCTTGGGTTGCCGTTGTTTGACTACAGGTGAACGTTAAGGTGCCAGTGATGCTGAGCATATGCACCAGGATGTGGGCTTCTGAGCCACTCTTCCCCTGCCTCTGGTTAGTTTGTGGGGAAGAGATGCGACTTCTTGAAAACCTGGCAACAAACCATGAACCTAAAGGGTCTTTGCAGATCTAGCTTTTGTATTGGTCCGACCTCAGTCAGGGACCTTAATGCATCTAGTGGTGACTCCCTCTACCCGTGTCTTAGCTATTCACATGGAAAGTCCCCTCAGTTGGAAGCGGTCTCTTTGTTTTCTTTTCTATAGAAAGATATAGCTGTGATCTTAAAGCAAAGGGTACAAAACAAAAGTGTAAAAGCTTAAAGCATGTGTACTTATAATAAAATATTGAAATAGTCAATTATAATTTTTATTCCCTAGGTGTTACCAATTCTTGAGATTCTGTATCACGTTGAAGAAAGAAATTCACACCATGTATATATGGCCCTTATAATATTGTTGATTCTCACAGAAGATGATGGCTTCAATAGGTCCATCCATGAAGTGGTAAGTGGCCATGCTTGGGTGAGAGCTGCAGTGGCAGGGCAGGCACCCCCTGCACTCTCCCACCCCTCCTCCGCCTTCCCCGCCTCCCCATGCCTTGCCCCCAGGATACTCTGCATCCTTTCTTCCAGTGGATGCTTCTTTGAGTACCTGGATTAGAAATAGCACATCTTTCTGCAGATTTAGGAAGTGGATGACTATTGGTCACTACTAAAAACTCTCCCAAGTTGGTTCTTTAGTGATTGATGCACATTTTTTTGCTGCTACTAGGTTCATTTTCCTCCAGCATTTCATTTCCACTTTTTAGTTGTGGCAGAACTTGTCCAGCAGGCTTACTCCTTGCACACAGAATGAGAGAAGGAATGGGACCCAGAGGGAGAAGATGAGGAATTCATGTTTTGTGTATTTTTAAAAGGGCATGACATAATTTAACTCCTTAGATTTCGGTCCTGTTGAAGAGTTCATTCCCACACTGTTTCTGGCTTCCTGTTTGGCAATTTCTTTGTGTCAAAGTAATACCTGCATGTAGTTTAAAAACTTATATGGAAGTATGAAGTTTTCATGAAAAACAGCAGACCCACGTCCATTTTGTTCTTGATTCCCACTCTCCTAGGGCGGATGCATTAAGCTCTGCCCATGTTTCTAAATCACATGTGTACATTGTTATTTCTTGATTTTTCAGATTAGATGTTCTGTTACCTTTCTAAGATGGAAGATAAGTCATCCACTCTCAGCCTGCAGACTGTGCTTCCTCAGGGCTCCCAGCATGCTTGCCAGCACATAGACTCTCGTTAGCATTTTTGATCACCTCAGCTTTTGTATTATTATGATTGGCTTAGCTACTCTCCTTAGTTTTGCAAGTGCTGCAGGGGGACTGCATTTCCTGCCCTGCATGCCTCACTGTTTCTGATGCACATCATTCCTGTTTTTTATTTGTATACCAGTCACTAATTCAACCCCCAGGACTTTAATAGAACTGAGAATCCCCTCAGAATAGATTCAGATGTACTGGTTCCCTCGTGGCCTCCTGTCTCAGCCACGCTGCCGGCTTGCCATAGTGCTGGTGACTCTAACTGATCTGTGTATCTGTGGGAGTGATTGATCGTTCACATCTGTGGGAATGATCATTCAACAGTCCATCAGGAACTCTGTGTGCGACAGGGCCTACATACCATGCCTTGCCCTCTGCAAAATCTTTCTTTGGGTCCTGTTTCTTGAATGGATTGGTTCTCAGGGGACTTGCCAGTCACCTTGCTGGGGGGTGGGGTAGGGGTGTAGAAGAGGTCAGGGCTTTCACACCTCATAGGGCACAGACACTTCCTTTCCTCCTCGGTTTCAGGAGGGCATTTGTGTTATCTTTACCCTTCTCTAATGTTCCATTAAAGCTTGTTTTGCTTCTTATGTACTATGACCATAATTTCAACTAAGACGTAAGGAATCTTGACGATTGTGGAAAGAGCATAAGACAGGGGTTCCCAACCACTGATCCGTGGCCTGTTAGGAACCGGGTACACAGCAGGAAGTGAGCAGCAGGTGAGTGGAGCTCCTCCTCCGTTCAGATCAGGAGCAGCATTCGTTCTCATAGCGTGAACACTATTGTGAACTGCTTGCAAGGGATCTGAGTTGCACGCTCCTCATGAGAATCTAATGCCTGAGGATTCCCCCTCCTCACTCATGGAAAAACGGTCTTCCATGAAACCGGTATTTGATGCCAAAAAGGCTAAGGATCGCTGGCATAAGACATAAGATACTCTTTTCTTCTGTATGTATTTATGGTGTGCAGCATGTTTTGATGCACATACACATGCTGGGATGGCTCCTACAGTCAAGCAAGTTCGTGGTCCGTTATCTCACATAGTTCCCCCCATTTGGGGCACGCGCAACTAAAATCTATTCATTTAACCAAAATTCTGAATACAGCGTTGTTAACGATAGCCCTCATATTATGCATCAGATCTGCAGACCTCTCAATCCCACACAACTGTAGATTTGACCTGTGTGTCCTGTTTCCTCTCTCTGGCCCCCCCCTCTTTAACCACCATAATATTCTCTATCTCTTTGTAGTTGACTTTTTTTTTTAAGATTCCACATATAAATGAGTTCATGAAGTATTTTCTTTTCTCTGTTGGCTCATTTCACTTAGCATCCTGTCCTCCAGTTGCATCTGTGCTGGCAAATGTCAGGACCTTCTTTTTAAAGGCTGAATAATAATCCGCTGTGTCACTTAACAACAGAGAAACATTCTGAGAAGTGCATCATTAGAGATTTTCTTATTGTGGGACTATTACAGAGTATACTTTCACAAACCTAGATGGACAGCCTGCTACACACCTAGGCCATGTATGGTGTAGCCTGTTGCTCCGAAGCTACAAGCCTGCACAGCAGGTGACTGTAGTGAATACTGTAGGTAATGATAGGTCTGTGTGTGTCTAAACATATGCAGACATAGAAAAGGTACAGTAAAAATGCAGTATAAAAGATAAAAGTGGTACCCCTGGAGGGGCACTTTCCATGAATGGAGCCTGCAGGACTCTGGGTGGGTCGGTGAGTGATGGTGAGTTGATGTGAAGGCCTAACGCTTGACTGTGTGCTGCTGTAGGCTTTATGAACACTACACACTTAGGCTACAGTACATTTTTTTCTTTCTTCAACAGTGAATTAACCCTAGCTTACTGCAACAGTTTACTTTAGAAAGCCACCACAACATGTGAGTAATGTGTTGTGCTCTAGCGGCTCTGACCCCTCGGCTATAGACTTGCTTAGCTCAGCTGTAGCTTCGGGGGGCCCTTGTGTCTGTGGACCGTCGCCGACAGCACATCATCATGGGCCACGTGATGGCATATACCACATTTTCTCTTGGTTTTTCATTGGATACCTCAGTTGTTTCTGCATCTTGGCTATGGTGAATATGCTGCAGTGAGGATGGCAGTGCAGCTATCTCTATGAGGTGGGGATTTCATCTTCTTTGGGTACATGCCCAGAAGAGTCACCACTGGGTGATATGGTAGTTCTACCTTTAATTTCTTTAGAATCTCCATACTGTTTTCCACAATGGCTGTCCTGATCTATATGTCCGACAACAGTGTGCAAGGATTCCCTTTTCCCACACCCTCATCAATACTTGTTGTCACTTTATTTTTGATGATAGATATCCTAACTGGTATGAGGTGATCTTTTGGTTTTGATTTGTATTTCCCTGAAGATTAGTGATATTGAATACTTTTTCTGTAGCTGATGGCCATTTTTGTCTTCTTTGGAGAAATGTCTATTGAGGTTCTTTGCCAAATTTTTAATGGGGTTATTTGTTTTTCTGCTTATTGAGTTGTGTGAATTCTTTATGTATTTTGACTGTTAACTGCTTATCAGACACATGATTTGCAATTACTTTCTCCCAATTCAGAGGCTACCTTTTTATGGTGTTGATTATCTCTTTTGCTGTGTAGAAGCTTTTTAGTTTGACATATTTCCATCCATTCAGTTTTGCTTCTGTAGCCTGAGCTTTTAGTGTGAACATCTGAAATTTTTTCGTTCTCATTTTTAGTAAAATAACACCAGAAGTAATATTTGCATATATTTACTTAGCTTTTAAAATATAATTTATCTTTCTTTTAATATGAAATAATAAACCAATATGATTTTTAAAAACATTTAAGGTTGAAGTATAATATACATAAAGTGCACAAATTCACAGCATCTTGGATGAATTTAGGGTCTTTTATACTCAGTGATCTATCACAGAAACAAAGAACTGAGTACCACATGTTCTCACTCATAAGTGGACCTTGAGCATTTACCATAATACTGTAAGAAAGGGGTTGGCAGTAGCGGGATACTGCCGGGGTGAGGGGTGTCACATAACACCAATAAGGGTACCTGATCTCAAATCAGGCAAAGTGGGGACCAAAAAGCGGCCCACACTTTACTTGTGCGATGTCCACTTGTATACCTAATCCTGAATTATACCCCACATTTTTAAAATAAAAAATAAAGTGCACAAATTTTAAAGGTGAAACTAATGAAATTTACATATGTCTGTACCTGTGTTATTACTGTCAGACCAACTTTTCTTTTTTTTTGGAGACAGGGTCTCACTGTCACCCAGGCTGGAGTGCAGTGACACCATCATGGCTCACTGCAGCCTCCAACTCCTGGACTCAGGTGATTCTTTTGCCTCAGTTGCCTGAGTAGCTGGAACTATGGGTGCGTCACCATGCCCGACTAATTTTATTTTTATGTTTTGTAGAGATGAGGTCTCATTATGTTGCTCAGGCTAGTTGCAAACTCCTGGGCTCAAGTGATTCTCCTGCCTCGGCCTCCCAAAGTGCTGGGATCACAGACACAAGCCCCTGTGACTAACCCAGACCAAGATATCGAACATTTCTAGCTTAAAAGAAGACTTCCTTATCCCCTTTCCTGGTCAGGACCCTGGTGGGTCCCCAACCCAATCAAGCTTAGCTGCAATCCTGACTTTCCTACAATAGATATATTTTTTGTCTTTTTTTGAATTACAGTATACTCATATATACTGACTTATTTTGCTCAAAATAATGTTGGTGAGATTCATTTCTGTTACTGCATCGTCAGTCTGTCCTTTGTTGTTGCTATGTGCTGTTCTATTGTATGAAATGCCACTGTGTATTTATACATTCTCATTTGGGGGAAATTTGATTTTGTGCTATTTTTAATAAAGCTGCTATGCATGTTTTCAAATTGTATTTTGGTGGCTGTATGCATTTATTTCTCTTGACTGTATAACTAGGAATAGAAGTGCCAAGTCATAAGGCAGGTGTGTACTTAACCTTAAGAGGTACTAGTAAAACTAAAGCTTGTGTATGCCCCACAAGTCAGCAATTTCACTTTAAGGTAAACTAGGAAGCCTTATTCGCATTGAGAAGACATGTACATTAATGTTCATTACAGCATTATTTTTGGTATTGAAAATGCTTAGGACATGCAAAGTGAAACAAAAAGGTACAGGCTGCAACTAGAGAGAATGAAAGGGA